AAGAAAGCAGAGGCCTGGTTTACATAAAGTTGTTTGCAATAGCAGGCACATCTCCCTAGAGCTTCCTTTATTGTTCACTTTAAGAAGGGACTGCACAGTTGCAGTCACTGTAATGTGATGAATACGTTACACATCACATAACAATGCATTTCTTCATAGAAGTCAGGGTCTCGGGCTTGATCTCCATTTTCCTCACTCCCCTCAGTGGAGAATCAGACAAGAGCAGGTTGTACAGCAACAGCGTGCTTGAACTTTACAGTTTTGCTCTGGTGAAAAATTTATTTGTAGTTTCTGTTTCTTAGTAATTTACAGTTTGCATATTTTATTGAAATATGTAATCTAATGGACCAACTGTTATTGTAATTATTATAGTTTAACCTCCATTTAATTCAACATTTATTGAAATCCTATTTTGTACTCCAATAAAATGAGACATTATAAGCTTATGCTATGCTAAGAAATAAGCTTATAATGTCTCATTTTATTATCAAAACACCCTCTGCATTCTATGTCTAATTTAACTCACAGACCCTGATAATTAACAAGCTCAGCTAGATGAAGCTACTTGGTTAAGACCACAAACGTAGTGAATGATAGAGCTGGTATTTTTGACAGCATTAGATGCATCTTGAATGTTCGACATATAAATACAAAAGTGAGTATTTGAGACATTGAAGACAATATTATGTTTACATATTCGGATTATAAGGAAATGCAGATATCATAGAAAACCATTTTAATATAATGGGAATAAAAGGTGTGTCAAGAGATCTATAGAATAATTGTACTTTAAATACTAAATTTATGGAATGAAACTTTACCTCTAAAAAAATTACAATGAAATCTCATATGCCTTTCACCTCGATTCACCCAATGGTGACATTGACTTTATCTCTCAAAAAGAAATCTAAAGAAATCTCTCTGACTTATCTCTTAATATATGTAGGTAATTTATCTCTCTCTCTAGATATCTATAACTTGTCTCTCTACCTAATATGCAATGTTACATGTATTATTATTCTTATTATTTTTCTTATTCCCATCTGTGGGAGTAAACTGCAGAGAACCTGGCACTTCTAGGCTAAGTACTTCAGCCTGTACTTGAATTCTTTAGATTCTAGAATACATTTTGGAAAGGTACCCTGCATTCTCTAGAGGTTTCTCATCCCACAGTGGATCTTTTCCCTTCTCCCTTCTATTCCCATCCCTCTTCTATAGCTGCAGATAATAGATGAACATATAAGGTCACACTGATGCATTAGAGAACAATTTTCAGTATATGATGATCATTAAAAAGTTACTGCAGGTTGTTGATCAAAAACCTTATAGCATAACCACTGTCTTTGAGGAAGAGTATTCTGACAGATAAGTCGTTGCAGTGGCATAGCACAGAGTAATAGGTTGCCAGATTATCCAGGCTTTTGTCTCTTACACTCTTTTTCATTGGTAAAATGTACATAAAATTTATTATTTTAATAATTTTTAAGAATATACTTCAGTGACATTAGTATACTCATGCTGCTGTGCAGCCATCGCCAGAACGTCATCATTGTAAACTGAGTCTCTCTACCTTTAAACAATGATTCTGCATTCCCTCCTCCCCCAGCCCATCATAGTTACACTTCTAATTTCTGTCTTAAGGTATTGGATTATTCTAGTACCTCATACAATATCTGTTCTTTTGTGTCTGGCATATTTCACTCGACATAATGTCTTCAAAGTGATCCATGTTGTAGCATGTGTCATAATTTCATACATTTTTATGGCTGAATAATATCTCGTAGTTATATACAATGTTTTATTCATCTATTCATCTGTTGATAGTCATTTGAGTTGTTTTTATCTTTTGGCTATTGTGCATAATGATTCCATAAACGCTGGTGTACTAATATCTGTGTGAGTCCCTGGCTTCAATTTCTTGGAGTGTATATATAGAAGTAGAATTTCTTCATCATATGTTGATTCTATGTTTGGTTTTCCAAGGATCTACCATAGTGTTTTCCATAGTGACAGTACCAGTTTACATTCCCATGGACAGTGCACACAGGTTCCAAATTCTCTACATCCTAGCTAACACCTGTTTGGAGTTTGGGTTTTTTTTAAAAAAAAACACAAATAATAGTCATCCTAACAGGTGGGTCTAACATGTTACCTCACTGTAGTTTTGATTTTCACTCACCTAGGGATTAATGATGTTGAGCATGTTTTCATGTGCTTATTGGCCATTTCTTCTTTGGAGAAACATCTAGTCTACTCTGCCCACTTTTTAAAATTTAAGTTCTGTGGTACATATGCAGATCTTGCAGGATTATTACATAGGTATACACATGCCATGGTGGTTTACTGCCTCCATCCCCCCCGTCACCTACATTAGGTATTTCTCCTAATGTTATCCCTCTTCGACCTCCCCACTCCTTGCTATCACTCCCCAAGTCCCCCTAGCCCCCCCAGCCCCCAACGCCCCCAGTGTGTGATGTTCCTCTCCCTGTGTCCTTGTGTTCTCATTGTTCAACACCCACTTATGAGTGAGAACATGTGGTGTTTGGTTTTCTGTTCTTGTGTCAGTTTTCTGAGATGATGTTTTCCAGATTCATCTATGTTCCTGCAAAGGATATGAACTCATACTTTTTTATGGCTGCATAATATTCCATGGTATATATGTGCCACATTTTCTTTATCCAGTCTATCTTTGATGGGCATTTGGATTGGTTCCAAGTCTTTGCTATTGTAAACAGTGCCTCAGTGAATATACATGTACACGTGTCTTTATAATAGATCTATTTATAATCTTTGGGGTATATAACCAGTAATGGGATTGCTGGGTCAAATGGTATTTCTAGTTCTAGATCCTTGAGGAATCACCACACTGTCTTCCACAATGGCTGAACTAATTTACACTCCCACCAATAGTGTAAAAGCATTCATATTTTTCCACGTCCTCTCCAGCATCTGTTGTCTCCAGATTTTTAAATGATTGTCATTCTAACTTGTGTGAGATGGTATCTCAATGTGGTTTTCATTTGCATTTCTCTAATGACTAGTGATGATGAGCATTTTTTCATATGTTTTTTGGCCACATAAATGTCTTCTTTTGAAAAATGTCTGTTCATATCTTTCACCCACATTTTGATTGGGTTTTTTTGTTTTTTTCTTGTATATTTCTTTTAGTTCTTTGTGGATATAAGCTCTTTGTCAGATGAGTAGATCGCAAAAATTTTTTTCCATTCTGTTGGTTGGTGGTTCACTCTAATGATAGTTTCTTTTGCTGTGCAGAAGCTCTGGAGTTTAATTAGATCCCATTTGTCTTTTTTGGCTTTTGTTGCCAATGCTTTTGATGTTTTAGTCATGAAGTCCTTGCCTATCGTATGTCCTAAATAGTATTGCCTAGGTTTTTTTCTAGAGCTCTTATGGTGTTAGGTCTTATGTTTAAACCTTTAATCCATCTGGAGTTACTTTTTGTATAAGGTGTAAGGAATGGGTCCAGTTTCAGCTTTCTGCACATGGCTAGCCAGTTTTTCCAATATCATTTATTAAATAGGGAATCCTTTCCCCATTGCTTGTTTTTATCAGGTTTGTCAAAGGTCAGATGGTTGTAGACGTGTTGTGTTACTTCCAAGGCCTCTGTTCTGTTCCCTTGGTCTATATCTCTGTTTTGGTACCAGGACCATGCTGTTTTGATTACTGTAGCCTTGTAGTACAGTTTGAAGTCAGGTAGCATTATGCCTCCAGCTCTGTTCTTTTTGCTTAGAATTACCTTGGCATTGTGGGCTCTTTTTTTGTTTCATATGAAATTTAAGGTGTTTTTTTCCAGTTCTGTGAAGAAGGTCAATGGTAGCTTGATGGGGATAGCATTGAATCTATAAATTACTTTGGGCAGTACTGCCATTTTTACGATATTGATTCTTTCTAATCATGAGCATGGAATTTTTTTCCATCTGTTTGTGTCCTCTCTTATTTCTTTTTTCTGCTATTGTTGTTAGTGAATTTTAGGAGTTCTTTATGTGTTCTATAAGAAACATGATTTGCAAATATTTTCTCCCTTTCCATAGGGGTTGCATTTTTATGCAGTAGATAGTGTTATTTGATGCACAAAAGTCTTTAATTGTGATGAAGTGTGGTGTATCTAATTTTTTTTAACTTGCTTCCTTTTGGTATCATACACACGAAATTATTTTGTATGATACCAGAAATCATTTTGAGTGACATACCAGAAATACAAGGTAGGCAGAACAGAGCCAGAAAATGTTGCTCCCAGTCATATTAGTGTTTTATAAATAAGGTCTTCTTTGCTCCCTCCACTTTAAGGGAGGGAACTGGGAACTAGACACCTACCTCCTCCAAACTAAGTCCATGTTACTGAGTGGAGTGGGTAGAAATAGCAAACAAAATACCATGGAATCTCCTACAATTTTGAATGTGCCTTTTAAAAGTATTGGACATTTGCCTGGTTGCTGTAGACTTTTGACCGTTTTCCAGAGCTCCTATAAGATTATTTAAGCCATTTTTTAAGTTGTTTTGAGATGTCTCCAAGGAAAGAAGGGCTTAGAACTTCCTAGCCTGCTATTTTACTCAATTGTTCAAGGTTGTAATCCTGGCTTTATGATTTCTACATGTACTCTTTGTAAAACTTATGATATCATTTGCATATTTGTTGGTATAATAATCTCTAACTTGCAGGTTTTTCTGTCAGTGAGGTCAGATACTTAAGGCATGCATCACAGGGCTTGGAGTATTAGTGGGCCCCCTATTATGGTAACAATTACTTGGACGTTAATATTACTATCAAAGTAAAACTTTAAAGAAGATAACGCTCCATATTTCATCACTTACGTCATTACAGATTTAGGAAAGTGATAAAAGAAGCCTTCTGCTGTCTGCAAATGCTAGATTACATGTTGTCCAATAGAAACACAGAAGTCTTATCAGTCCTTTGTTGATGGGTGCTTGGGAAACGGTGAGACAAAGAATGATATTGTACCTTATTTCTACTAGGAGGCTATTCTAAGTTGGCAGTTGCCATGGAATCTGTACCCAAAATGTTGGCTCCCATTTGCCTGGTGGAAAACAACAAAGAGAAGCTATTGGTGAACCAGCAAGCGATACAGATTCTTGACCAGATTTCTCAGCCAGTGGTGGTGGTGGCTATTGTTGGACTGTACCGTACAGGCAAATCCTACTTAATGAACCAACTGGCAGGACAGAATCATGGTAAGGGTGAGTGGTATCCTGGGACACAGACAAGTTGCTTGATCCCAGCTATATCTCAGCTTCTTAATTCTCTACCCCAGGCACATGAAGCGAGGCTCCAATTCCTTTCAATAAACCAATCTTCTCATTCTAATTCTTACCACCAAATCACTTACAATAATCCGTTCCCATGTTTTTTCCTTCATTCCCATTAAGGAAACTCTCCATTATTAGTGCCCAGAATCCTACCTTCCCTGTGTATTCAAGTCCTGGGCTCCTGTAATTGTGTCTCCTTTCTCTTACACCATATTTTTCTTTCTTCATGTAATATTCCCATCAACATATGAAGTTGTTTTAATCTGTATAATCTTAAAAACCCTTCTCAAGTTTCACATCCTATCATGGCCACCAACTTTTGTTTTGTTTTTGTGTTTGTTTTCGTTTTTAATCACTTTTCAATGCAAAAAAAAAAATCTCAATTTCCCTGTTTGAATTTTTTCTTTCTTGCGTCTTTCTTCAACCCACTCCTCTCTAACTTTGAACCCCACCACTTTTTAAGATACTCCTGTTTTCAGTGACCTTCATTTTGTCTGATTCATGGAGTCCTCTTTGTCTCCATTTTGAGCCCTTGTTTGGCATCATTATCACATTTAAAGTCTCTTGCTTTTTGAAATAGATGACTCACAGAGAGAGCCATTCTTGAGGAAACACAGAAAGCATCATCTTGTATGCTGGGGTAGTTACAATCCAACCAGTCTGACGCTGTGGCCTCAAGGGCTGCTTGGCTGCTTTGCTGTCCCTGTGCTTAGCTTCCTCCTCTTCTCCACAGGCTTCCCTCTGGGATCCACGGTGCAGTCTGAAACCAAGGGCATCTGGATGTGGTGTGTGCCCCACCCCTTCAAGCCAAACCACACCTTGGTTCTTCTGGACACCGAGGGTCTGGGCGATGTGGAAAAGGTAAGACAGAGAGTCATAGACAGATTTTTTTATTCCAGACATGATCCTTGTGGCTTAACTGCTGTGATCTATTTGTGAAAACTAGAAATCCAACTATAGTGAATAAGGCAAACTTCGGCCTGTTTGAATCACACTTCTAGACAAGATTAGTTATCATGGTATACTAGGAAAACATTCTTTTATTTCTTGGCACAGTGGTGAATGATTTGATTCAATTTGATAAAAGCTTGTTAAGCGGTTGAGTTCCAGGCCTCCGGGCTGAGTAGCATAGACATTGGTGAACAAAGTAAAGGTCCTACCCACAAAGATCTCTCGGTATCATAGATACCACACGTATCTTAATGTCCTCTGGGTTTATACAGGTTATTGCCAATGACACAATTTCCTTTTTGAAGGTGTAATAGTATTTCATCACGTAAAGATTTTATATTTTTAAAAATTCATTCATCTGTTGACTCCATGCCTTGGCTATTGTGAATAGTATCACAATAAATGTAAAATTGCAGACACCTCTTTGACATACTCATTTCATTTTCCTTGGATAGATACACAGTAGTGGGATTTCTGGGTCCAGTTTGTAGTTTTTCATTTAAGTCTTTAATCCATTTTGAATTGGTTTTTTGTACGGTGTATAATAGGATCAAATATTGCTCTTCTGCATGCATGTGGATATCCAGTTTTCCTAGAACCATTTACTGAAGAGACCATCCTTTCTCCAATGTGTGTTCTCAACACATTTGTCAAAAAGGAGTTCATTGTGGATGTATACATTTATTTCTGCATTGTCTATTCTATTCCATTGATCTATATGTCTGTTTCTACACAAATACTGTACTATTTTGACTACTGTGGCTTTGCAATATATATTGACTTCAAGAAATGTGATGCCTCCAGCTTTGTTCTTCCTGCTCATGATTACTTTGATTATTCAAGAATTTTTGTGATTCTGTGTTAATTTTCAGATTTTTAAAATATCATTTAAGAATATTATTGGGGCTGGTTGTTGCCAATGAAACGATTTCCCTTTTAAAGGCATAATAGTATTTCATTGGGTATAGATTTCACATTTTTAAAAATTCATTCATCTGTGAAGGAAATCTCCATGCCTTGGCTATTGTGAATAGTACAGCAAAAAAATATAAAATTGTGGAGATGGCTTGAGGCTAGGAGTTAGAAACCACCGTGGGCATAAAAAGATAATAATAATAAACAAAATGCCTTTGGGATTTTTATAGGTACTTTAAAGTTATCTATCAAACAATGATATACTCCTGTCTAAATAGTTTATTGTCTCTCACAATCCCACTTTAAGAAAAATTCTCATTGATTACTTTTATAAAAATTAGGGATTGAGGGATATAAAGTAATGAATAGGCTATTCTTCTTACCTTCAAAATTCCATATAGAATCTCTTAGAATCACGTAGAAATCTCTAGATCTCAGTTTTTATATTTGGTCTAGGAATGAGTTACATATGCTGTTTAGGGTAGAAATAATTACTGGACTATTCTCTAATTTAGACATGCTCTAATTTATAAAAACAAATTAGCCTAACCTTTAGCTAAGTTCTAGTTATGTGGTGGAGCTCACAGAACTAATCAACCCCTTAAGTCCTAGTTATCTGACAGAGTTCACAGCCCTTAATCAACCAGGTGCTGGAGCTCCCTATTCAGTCTTATCTTTGGCATTTACCCTCTGCTCAGTCAAACCAATAAACTCTATTCTTGTTGCAGTGACTCCTGAAATCTACAATATCTGATTTTGTTTCTGTGGGCCTTTCTACTTGCAGAATCACCTTCATTTCTTCAAATTCACATTCCACCAATTCTTCAACATTCAGCTCATGACTTCCCAGAAGCATTCACATCACATACACTTTCTTCAATTTTCATAGCTCTTATCTTCCTGGATAGACTCGTAATTTTTAACTTAACATAGCTATGGATTCCACTGCTTATGTACATTACTAAGATGTTATCTCTTTATAAATATTGTCATTTTTATTGAGTTCATCATTATGAATGTTTGTCACAGCTTTGAAATAGTCACCTTGAGAGTAAATTTATTAAATTTGCTTTTCTAAACATAAGAACTGTGAGAAATATTCTTCAGTTTCCTATAAGTGTTTGCTGAATTTAACTGAATATAATTAAAATCCCCAGTAATGTATACTATGGTATGGTTTTTTTTTACGTGATGCATGGCCAATAAATAGGTGTAGACTGAAGGAGTGTTAATACCTACCATGAATATCCAACTGAGAACCAGACATTGTGCTAATTTTTCTATATATGCATCTTATTTTACCCCATTGAGGAAAAGGAAACCCCTATTAAAATTAGAATCCTTTTACATGTCAAGAAATTGTGATTAGAAGGCTCATTGTAACTGTCAAACTGTTGTTTACATTCATGTCTATCTTCTTTGTACGGCAAATACACTAGCTGAAATCATAAATGAAAGACTAACAAAATAAATGTCTCAGTGAATTTCTAAAGGCTACACTCCTAAGTCCTTTGCTCCATTGTGCTTTTAAGGGTGACCCTAAGAATGACTCCTGGATTTTTGCCCTGGCCGTGCTCCTGTGCAGCTGCTTTGTCTACAACAGCATGAGCACCATCAACCACCAGGCCCTGGAGCAGCTGCAGTATCCTTCTGGGAACAGAACAGAACCACCAAGTTTCATTGACTTTATAGGAATGGAGAGCAAGTCATTTCCTCCTTCCCTTTTATTTAATTACCCTTGGTGCAGCATAGGGAACCCAAGACGAAAGAGAATGTTTATAATTTTTTAATAAGAGAAATGTGTGAGTTGTGGGCAGACAGTTGCTTTTCCTTAGCTAAGTCCTAGTTATGTGACGGAGCTCACAGAACTAATTAAGGCAAAGTCTTCCCCAAGGCCTGATGGAGTAGAAGATTCCACCGAGTTTGTGAGTTTCTTTCCAGACTTTATTTGGACTGTACGAGATTTCACTCTGGAGCTGAAGTTGAACGGTCATCCTATCACAGAAGATGAGTACCTGGAGAATGCCTTGAAGCTGACTCAAGGTATCAGAGTGTGGCCTGGGCTGTGGGCAGTCCAATGGGTGTGTGATCTGCTAAACACTGCCTGTCATCTCTGGGGTTTCATTTGTATTTGAGACTAGATTGAGGTCTGTAGAAATGAGGGTTGGGAGGCATGTTGAAGAGCTCTAGGAATGGAGTTTAGTTCACTTAAGAAGAGTAGAGCCTAAAGTCCAGATAGATTATTCAAGACAGATTTGTTCTTTGTACAATTAGCACCTTAGCATTCAGATTACAATGGGTGCTAAGACTTTCTAAAAACAAGATGCTCATGATCCCTGTTTTGCCCTCTGCTTTTCTGTGTTTAGAAATGATTGACCAGATAAGTGTTAGACATGAAATTACAATGAAAAGCCTATCTAATAAAAACATATGTGTGTGCTTGCATTGTTATAAAGGAATACCAGAGCCTGGGTAATTTATTTTAAAAAGTTTATATGGCTCAGCAGTTCTGCAGGCTGTACAAGCATGGCACCAGCATCTCCTTCCAGTCAAGACCCCAGGAAGCTTTTACTAATGGTGGAAGGTTAAGGGTGAGCTGGTGTGTCACATGGTGAGAAAGGGAACAACAAAGTGGGGAAGGTCCCAGTCTTTTTAATAACCAGATCTTGTGTGAACTCATTACCACAAGGATTGTGCCAAGGCATTCATGAGAAATCTGCCCCTGTGACCCAAACACTTCCCACTAGGCCCACCTCCAATATTGGGAGGTCACATTTGAACACGAGGTTTGGAGGAGACACACATCCAAACTACGTCGACATGTTACACAGATATTATTCTTCTCATGGGGGGATATAACTTTTTGGTACCTGTAGAGTTATATCATCTACAAAAATGATTTGTGTGCTAAAGTAACCTGAAGAAACACACGTCTTTACAATCTGTGCCTTTTCAAAATTTCTGATAATTGTCAGAATATTCATTTTACTTTCTATGTTATGGTTTTTCACTTAAATTCAACATATGTATCCATGCTATAATTTCATAATAATTGTTTTAATGGGTTACATTTATGTGTGTAACTTATAAAACATTATGAAAAATATCAACTCCAGTGCACTCATTTTTGCTTTCATTTTTCTATTTATGCTTTCTTGAAACATTTATTAAAAATTCATAGGCAGAAGAACAATACTGCCAAATAGAATACAGTCTTTTACTCCTAAAAGTTTATAGAGAAGTGATGATTATCTTAAAACTGCATTCTTGACTGGGCATGGTAACTCAAGCCTACAATGTCCGCACTTTGGAAGGCAGAGGTGGAAAGATTACTTGAGTTCAGGAGTTTTAGACCAGCCTGGGTAACATAGTGAGACCCTGTCTCTATAAAAACTAGAACAAATCAGCTAGGTGTCATGGTGCACACCTGTAGTCCCAACTACTAAAGAGGCTAAGGTGGAAGGATCACTTGAGCCTGGGAAATCAAGGATACAGTAAGCCGTAACTGTGCCACTGCACTCTAGTCTGGGCAATGGATCAAGATCTCATCTGGAAAAAAACAAAACAAAATTACATTCTTATTACATTTAGTCTTCAGATGATTTTGCTAAAAAATAGCTAACACTATACAAATTCTTTTAGCATCAATGTAGTTTCCTTAAATCATGGTATCTTTTTTACTATCCCAATTTCTGGCTCTTGTTTTGGTCCCACAGCTCAGTTTCTACATGGAATGAAGTGGACCAGAAATTTACATTTGATATTTCATTAATTCAGCCATTCATTTAGTAAACGTCTCATAAACAATACTTTATACTTGGCACTATGTTCAGGTCTACAGACACCAGCCACAGGTTTTGTTTGTACTTGGGTCCGATGTCTCCCAAAGTTTCCTGCCAGCATTTTGTCACTGGTACAAGTTTCATGTGCACAGAAGTATTGAATGTTCATGCTGTAAGTGTAGAAGACAGCAAGAAAGACAACAAACCCTGTCAAAAATAACTTTAGCTCCCTTATACCAAGACTTTTTTCAATATATTCTCTGTTTTCTTTATCCCCCAGGCAAGAATCCCAAAATTCAAACATCCAATTTGCCCAGGGAATGCATCAGGCATTTCTTTCCAAAACGGAAGTGTTTTGTCTTTGACCGGCCAACAAATGATAAGAACCTTCTAGCCAATATCGAGAAGATGTCAGAAAAGCAACTGGATCCCAAATTCCAGGAACAAACAAACACTTTCTCTTCTTACATCTTCACGCATGCAAGGACCAAGACCCTCAGAGAGGGAATCATGGTCACTGGGAATCGTGAGTCTCCTTTTCACATTTCTCTGGGGCCTCATGTGTTGAATATATTGTATAATGTGTTTCTCGGAATTTTTGTTAGATTCCATACAGAACTATGTATATATAGGTATTCACACTCAGTGAAGAAATGTGTATAATTATCTCACTTATTGTAACTTACAAATTCCTCTCCAATATGGCAAACTCTGTCACTGATATCTGTAGCTTCCACATATCTGAAAAATAATCCTTTACTGATAAAATATCTAACTGAATATAAAAACAGACATATAATATTTTCTTAGAGGAAGTCCTATGTGTTCAGTATTCTTTGCAAAGAGAATATAAAAGATGTTGGAAGTTTAAAAGGCTCTAGAAGGCTGTGAGTGGTGGCTCACACCTGTAATCCCAGCACATTTGGAGGCAGAGGCAGGCAGATTGCTTGAGCTCAGGAGTTTGAGACCAGCCTGGACAACATCGTGAAACGCCATCTCTACAAAGAATACAAAAATTAGCTTTTTTGTGGCATGCACCTGTAGTCTCAGTTATTTAGGAGGCTGAGGCAGGATAATTGCTTGAGCCCGGGAGGCGGAGGTTGCAGTGAGCCAAGATCACTCCACTGCACTCCAGCCTGAGTGACAGAGCAAGACCCTGTCTCAAAAAGAAAAAAAAATCTAGAAATAAATATGAGTCCATAAGTCCCTGAAAATCCATTGGGTAGATTCAGAATTAGGAATAAATGTGGTATGATTTACCCTGCCTCATCATTTTACCTGTGTAAACTACTTTCCTTGAAATTTGTTTAAAGGAGAAATAGTATTTCCCATCTACCCTCTAGTGTGTTATGTAAAAGTAGATATTAAAAATTTTAGCACTGGTGACTGGAGATCCATAAACATGAAGAGTCAGTATGAAAATGAAAGAGATAATAGCAGAAGGAGGTAGGGGTGTGGGTGTATGTGTTTGCATGTGTGCATGGGCGTGCTCAGAAATGTTGCCTCTGATCCCACTGAGCTTTAATTTCGTATTACCCCATACATCTCCTGGTTCATTTAGGTCTGGGAACTCTGGCAGTGACTTACGTAGATGCCATCAACAGTGGAGCGGTACCTTGTCTGGAAAATGCAGTGATAACTCTGGCCCAGCGTGAGAACTCAGCAGCCATGCAGAGGGCAGCTGACTACTACAGCCAGCAGATGGCCCAGCGAGTGAAGTTCCCCACAGACACGCTCCAGGAGCTGCTGGACATGCACATGGCCTGTGAGAGGGAAGCCATTGCCATCTTCATGGAGCACTCCTTCAAGGATGAAAACCAGGAATTCCAGAAGAAGCTCGTGGTAATTTGTCTTAGTCATTACAGTTCATGATCCTTCCCCTTGAAGAATGAAGCCTATAGTTGCCTTTATTGACACCAGTGCTCATCTGTCACTGAGGAATAACTTATGGTGGATTATCATGAGGGATAGAGTTTCAAAAGACTACATATCTCTTTTCTCCCCAAACCTTAAGCATTCAACCAGAAAACCTTCTGATAACTGAGGTAAAATCAATATAGATCACTTAAGATCTTCCTTAAGTGAACAAATCTAAGGATTCCAGGCCTGCTCTGAACACCCACAAGTCATTCCTGAGCAGTGCATTTTTCCTGTGCGGAGTCCACCTTTCCCAGGAAACAAAGATCCTCTTACCAGATCTTCATTCCGGACCATTGTTCAACTTACACTGCTCTTTCTTGAATCCTTGTACCATTGAGGACAGGCACACAGGATGCTACAGTTGCAACAAACCATAGAGATTATGGAATGTAGTCCCATCATGTCACAGATGAGGAACCTGAAGATCAGGAAGATTAATGAACTTTTCCATAGTCTTGAAAAGAATTTTTAACATTGCGAATATATCAAGTTTTGTGTCTGATTCCACATTTACTCCACTAGAAGGTTTTTCTCATGAGGACCACAGTTAGATTGACCCTTCTACCAGATTCTTTAGAATTTCATCTCCTCCATTTGTTTCTTTCAGTGACATCTCTCTACATTTCCCTTGCAGGAAATCACAATGAATAAGAAGGAGGATTTCTTGCTGCAGAATGAAGAGTCATCTGTTCAGTACTGCCAGGCTAAACTCAATGAGCTCTCTAAGGCCCTGATGGAAAGTATTTCAGCAGGAAGTTTCTCTGTTCCTGGAGGGCACAAGCTCTACATGGAAACAAAGGAAAGGGTTGAACAGGACTATTGGCAAGTGCCTGGGAAAGGAGTAAAGGTGAGAAATAAGGGGAACATGGCCAAGTTTATAGGATAGAGTGAATGGAGGCTTCAGCTCCAGCCGTGAGTAGTAAGAGAGCAGAGGGATAGCATAACACCTTAGCTTTCAGTGTCAACTACTTACCATTTATTTCTGAGAACAAAAATTTTTATCCCTAGACAAAGAGTATGATATTCAGAAATCCAGGAGAAATAGAATAAGAATTAGTCATGTACCAAGAGATGGTGATTTGCATGGGAAAAGCATAATCTTTGCATTCAAAGCTGATCAAAATGAGAGAGAGTGAAATAAATAGACAATTACATACAGAGTAATGACACTTATGAACCTCTGAAAATAAGCGACCTAGGTGGTGTAAATAAACATAACAGTAGTAATAATACAGCTAACTCACAGTGAGCTGTTATTACCTACAGTATATTGTTAAAGTCTTTCCCCAGACCTTTTAGTTTAATCTTTCTAATGACTTTAAGAAACACCTTATTTTGAAAGTTTTACTGAACTGAACTTAGTACCCAAGGAAGATTACACAACTTACCTAAAGTTCTAGCCAGCACGTGGCAAAAGAAAGAACAGCATAGATTAGAGGCAGCATTGCACACTGGAAGACAAACATGTAAAAGCACCAGAGATTGGGAGTTTGTACACCTGTACACATAGTTCTGCCTGGCTGGAACCCAGAGCAGGTATAGGGAGATATTATAGCAGTGGGAGAGGCACTGGAGGGAGATGGGAAGCAGGAGATGAGGAGGGGCTCTGGTCACACTAAGGAGGGGGCCTCATTATAACTTTATGCATAAAGCAAAAGTTACAAAACCACATTTGTTTTTGCAACACTAATAACCAGAATATTGATTTTCAAAGAAATGTAAGTGTTTTTTCTTGCTTCTACAGGCAAAAGAGGTCTTCCAGAGATTCCTGGAGTCACAGGTGGTGATAGAGAAATCCATCTTACAGTCAGATAAAGCCCTCACTAACAAAGAGAAGGCAGTAGCAGGTATGTGGCAGGGCTCAGCTTGCAGCAGGATGGGTAGGTTTCTACGATGTTATCTGACAGATTTAACAGGAAAACCTTCATAAAATGAGGAATTGCCTCCTCTGTGGAAGATACACTCTGCTAAATCTGAAAATCACAAGGAGGGCTGTGATGGTACATCAGCCAGACAGGCAGAGCCTTTCCCATCACATTCTCAAATGTGCTCTTAATGTGTGCACCTTAATGTGCTCCTAATGGTGTGGACCTGGGTGAATTCTGTGATTTCTCACCCTGCCTTTCAGATTTGGTTTAGTCTCTCAGCACAGAAGGGTAGAGATGAGTCTTCATCTATTATTTTCTTCTCTTTCTAAAACCTTCATGGAGCAGTGGATCGGGCCAAGATGGAGGCAGCTGAGAAGGAACAGGAACTTTTGAAACAGAAACTACAGGAGCAACAGCAACAGATGGAGGCTCAAGAGAAGAGTCTCAAGGAAAACATAGCCCAGCTGAAAGAGAAGCTGCAGATGGAAAGAGAACACTTACTGAGAGAGCAGAATATGATGTTGGAGCACAAGCTGAAGGTAAGTCTGCCCATGGCCTCAGCAGGCCAGGCGGTCCTTGCCCAGGTACCTCAGGAAGGGCTGGTGAAGGTTACAGCAACATCATGGAAGGAAGCACACCATTTGCTACTTGGAAGTCACTGAAAGCCCTGAATCTTTTTGTTTCTTAATATTGTTTCAGTAAGACTTGGAATTCTTCTCTATACTTAGATTCTGGAGAGTTCAGATTGACTATGACCCCTAAAACTCCTTGGGGGATATAAATAGGGTTGGAGCTGCTGTTTTGGGAGATTTTAAAGGTAATCTCAAGAGGCTAAACAGATATTCCACGCGGTGTATTTTATATGAGCAGCAACTGTTTGCTTTACCAAGACCACATATTACTAGGAGCTCTACTACCACCCAGACACCCTGAGGTACCTCCATGATGACATACAACTATGAGAAATTTCCAGACTTAAAAGGACAGGAAAGGGACAGTTTCTAAACTTGCTGCAGTTGTTTCTCTGTGTGTGGATAGCCTGCCCAAATTAGCACACAATGTAGGGAGAATTCTTGCATTGTCCATCTGAAAGTTCTCTTATAAGGGATTTCTACATCAGCTTATAAGTTCCTGTTATTTCTATAATATGGGTGACCATGCTGCCCAATTGGTGCTGAGAATTTATGCAATCAGACCAATGGCTACCTCCCAACTGGCATTTTTTTGGGCAGAAACATGTAGAATTTGTCCACATACCTGGGTTAGCAACATAGCAAAACGATAATAGTGGGTGAATACTAATAAAGTTATAAACTATGCTTCCTCACAATGTCGAGGTCCAATTTCTCCTCTAACAATTGAGAAAATGTTTTTAGGAGTAAAATTTTAAAAGTTCCACACCATTCTTAAATACAAAATGTAAGTCTTAATAGAATGGGGATTTTTAAAAATTTACTTTTCTTCCTACATTTTTTAGGTCCAAAAAGATTTGCTTGATGAAGGATTTAGGAAGAAATCTGAGGAGATGAATGTAGAGATAAGTCAATTGAAACATATGATCGATACTACAAAAAATGATGATACTCCCTGGATTGCACGGACCCTGGACAAACTTGGGGATGAGCTAACTTCGATATTGTCTGCTCCTGCTAAATTAATTGGTCAGGTTGTCAAAGGTGTGAGCTCATTATTTAAAAAGCATAAGCTCCTCTTTTAAGGATATTATAAAGTTTCTCACCCTGCCTTTCAGATTTGGTTTAGTCTCTCAGTACAGAAGAATAGGATAAGTCTTCACCTATTATTTTCTTCTCTTTCTAAAACCTTCATGGAGTGGTGGATCAGGCCAAGAAGAAGGCATCGTAGTACATATATGCTTTGGCCTATTTTTGATCTGTATTTTTATTATATTCATTCAGCAAAGTTTTTTTTTTTTTTTTGAGACAAAGTCTCACTCTGTCACCCAGGCTGGAGTGCAGTGATGCAATCTCAACTCACTGCAACCTCCGCCTCCTGGGTTCAAGAGATTCTCCTGCCTCAGCCTCCCTAGTAGCTGGGATTACAGGTGTATATCACCACACCTGGCTAATTTTTGCATTTTTAGTAGAGACGGGGTTTTACCATATTAGCCAGGCTGGTCTCGAACTCCTGACCTCAAATGATCCACCCGCCTCGGCCTTTCAAATTGCTGGGATTACAGGCATGAGCCACCGCACCTGGCCCTCATTCAGCAAAATTCTAAACATAAAAAGTGCTTATTAGAGGATATTAGTGCCTGGCCCATATTAGATAGAACAGATGCATATACGCTTTGAAAAACCATGTTTATTTTTAGGAAATATAATTTTGAAAAATCATTTACATAAAAGAGGTCCACTGAGGCATTGCTTTTAATGGCAAAAATCAGAATGTACTTGAATGTCCTTCACATAAGATTTGTAAGATAAATTTTAGTATGTGTATGAACTGGAATATCCTATAGCCAGTAAACAAATTGACAGTGAAGCTCTATTTTTACTAGTAAAGAATGGTCTTGAAGAGATATTGTAAAATGAAAAAAAAAAAGTTGTAAAGCAATGTAGAATATCTTTTCACCAAGAAAAAAATGCAATTATTATATACAAGCATGCAAATATATCTCTGGAAAGATTAATGAAAGTCTACTATGATTGGCTCCTTCTGGGAAGAACCAGGTGAATGTAGGGGTTGAAGGAACACATAGTCTTCATTTTATAGTCTATCTTTTGAATTTTATAAAGAAATCTTATTTTATCTACTCAGAAATGAGAAAATGTAAGAGACAATGCTAATAATAAAAACAATAAAAAATAGCAAAATTGACTATCAGATGATGAAATTGCTTGTTGCTTCTAGGAATTACATCAGTCAGCTTAACGAAGGGTCTAAGACTAAGATCTGAATACTAGAATGCATAAAATTTGCATCCTATTCTTGTTTTCATTTTGGCCTGGTTTTTCAATCCCTTCTATTTGTTTCATGACTAAGGCATACACTTTTTTGTGGCCTTTGAAATCTCAGCTATAGTAGCCTCTACTTCCTATCTCTGAATTGGAGTTTTAGGTGTTAGAAACACAAGTGTACCAAACATTACGATTAAGTACTGATAAGAGGGATTCTGCCAACCTTGTAAAGTCAGTAGTGGTCTCTTTGTGGTAGGCTCAGCTAGAAAGGATAATGTACCCTTCCAGAACTGAACCCTTTGATAAGGAATGATAGATCCAGACACAGAGAGGCCTGGTGTGGACCCTTAATTGTTGAATCTAAGTAGATTCAGTTATAGTAATGAATGGCAGACAGCTAGGCCTGACTGAGAGAATTCTGAAGATGGTCACTACAGTGGACCAGCCATAGGGTTAGATGGGATGTGGAGAAAATAATCAAGTGAAATAGTACCTCTCAACCAGGAAGTTGAGAGGTAGCCCCGATACAGTGTCACATCCATAGCCTTGATCTGAGCTAATTTCAGACCGTGAACTCAACTGAGTGGAGGACAGTATCCCAGGAAAAGGACACTGCAACTCCAGGACACAAATACATGATAATGATTTCCCTCATTCTTTTTCTAGGAACCTCTGAGGCCATTTACTAGATATCCATATACTAGGGAAATACAAACACCCAAACATTTTAAGGACTCTTGGAATCAGGATTCAAGTTGCCCATGGTACCCAGATCATGGAAAGTCATCATAAACTACCTGTTAAAATAGGGAGACAGGGCATCGGGCCCAAGTGCAACTTTTTGCAATATAGTATTTGTTTCAAATTAAAAGTAAAGTTTGTTTGAAGATGAATACCTAACTTATTTTTCTGTACATCTCCTCAAGAGTATGTTCAGGCATAAGATGTGTTAAATAAGCTTCTCTTATAAATATAAAACGATAGGAAGGGGCTGGGCACAGTGGCTCACCCCAGTAATCTCAGCACTTTGGGAGGCTAAGACAGGCGGATCATGAGGTCAGGAGATTGAGACCATCTTGGCTAACACGGTGAAATCCCATCTCTACTAAAAATACAAAAAATTAGCTGGGTGTGGTGGCACATGCTTGTAGTCCCAACTACTCAGGAGGCTGAGGCAATAGAATCACTTGAAGCCAGAATGCAGAGGTTGCAGCGAGCTGAGATTGTGTCACTGCACTCCAGCCTGAATGTCACAGCAAGACTCTGTCTCAAAAAAAAAAAGGATGATGCATGCATGATTATTTTTAATTGGTAAAATCTTATGAAATTTCCAGAAATTTCATGGTAATAAAAATAAAAATTTCATGGTAATAAAATCTCATGAAATTTCCATGGTAATAGGTAGTTTGAATTTTCGACCCCAGGTTAAGGTCTCTGAGGTGGTTTAAAGGCTATGAGGCCAGGCACAGTGGCTCAAGCCTATATTCTTAGCACTTTGGGAGGATGAGGTAGGCAGATCACTTGAGGTCAGGAGTTCGAGACCAGCCTGGCCAACATGGCAAAGCCCTGTCTCTACTAAAAATACAAAAATTAGCCAAGTGTGGTGGCACATGACTGTAATCCCAGCTACTCAGGAGGCTGGGGCAGGAGAATCACTTGAACCCAGGAGGCAGAGGTTGCAGTGAGCCAAGATCATGTGACTGCACTCCAGCCTGGGTGACAGATCCTGGGCGACAGAGTGAGACTCTGTCTCAAAAAAAATAAAATAAAGGCTATGAGAAGAAAAGAAACTTTCCTGGTATAGTGTCCTTCTCTAGACCTCATGTCTTATAGTCTCTGTAAAACTGAGTCGACGATAGATTTTTTTTCTGTGCTTTATATGATGACTTTAAATCTACGACCTCACACAAATCTGTAACTTCATGTATCACAGTCTCTATAAAACTGTATCAAAGAAAGAATTTTTCTCTGTGCTTTACAGAGAGGCTCACCCAGATCTGTAAAGAAATTAGAACAATTTTAGACCTTTCAATATCCAGTATTTCATATCTGGTCAAATCTGATACTTTCAAAACTCAATAGATCTATTTCAGATATCTTTGATGGTTGTAACAAGAATCTCATTCAATGTTATCTAAAGACTATAGTTAAAGAAAACTAAGACACTATTCAGTTGGGGCACAATAAAACCACCTTATAATCACCACTCATCCTTCCTTTACTGATCATGCTTTCGCCATGTTTCAATGGTTCAGAGACATTCTAGAGAATCCTCTTTTGACAGTAAAGTGGGATCAAGAGACCCCAACTCCATCTTCAGTCTCAATGACCCTTTAGAAGACATGGAACTCAGAAAAATGTTATGCTCACAGTTACAACTTACTACATTAAACAGCTACAAATTGAAACAACAAAGGCAAAAGCGACATGGACCAGAGTCTGAGACCAAGCATAGGCTTGGACTTGTGTTCTCCCTTGGGAGTTGCACAGACATTACCTAATTCTCCCACTAACAATGTGTGACACATGTCAACCAGGGATGGTCACACGAACTTTAGTGTCTAGTGTTTTTATTAGAGGGCAGTCACATAGGAAAGGAGTGCTCACGCGGCTGATCTTATTTACTCAGACTCCTGCGCCTTCAGACGTCAAACTGGTGAGGCATATCCTAAGATTTCCACCATAAATCACATTTTTAGCAGAAAGTATCTGGTATGGTCCAAGCCCTCGACATGTCCAGAATATTCTTATAAGGCAGGTTGTTCTAAGGGCATATTGGTTATATCCCAAGAATCAGTTGAGGGCCAGACCTTTCTTACAAAATTAACCTTTATTAGACAGTGTGAAAGAATGAAGAAGGTGACAACATGTCAAAGACAAAATAAAGATTTTTATTGTCTTACTGGAAGAATATGTCTATTTTTTCTTGACTTCTTCACGTATAAATATTCTTTCTCTGAAAGATGTAACTATCTAGCCTCTAGCAAAATATGCTGGAAGTATATGTTTTTAAAAGTAGTTTATTTTATTTCATTGTTATTATGTACTTAGAAACTTCCAATCTGATTACAGTGACCTTTGAACAATGTGGGTCTGAACTTCGAGTTCACTTAACATGGATTTTTTTTCAACTAAACACAGTATGAAAATACATTATTTGAGGAATGTGAAACACACATATATAAAGGGCCATCTTTTGGTATACATGAATTCTGCTGGACTTGAGTAGGCAAGGAGTTTGCATGGATTAGGAACTACAGGGTTCCTAGAACCAAGTCTCTGTGTATACTGAGAGATGACTGTAATTATTTTTCTTTATATAGGACAGAAAATGTATTTAATAAGGAATATATATATATGACCCTTGTAAAGTTATAGCACTGATTGTAACCTGGATACGGTACAAATTTCATGGTACTAATTGGCCTAAAATCACTTCATCCAACATTGGGCCTAAATTTCCTTAATATATGCAAACTCAAGCTGCTGGAGTTTTTCAAGGAACAAAATAATGAAAATAAATTATCAATCACCTTTTAACAACCAAAAATCACCACTGAAACAGGCTTTGATCAAGTCTTAAATAAAAACTGACATCAAATTTCTAGGTTGATTCCCACCTCCTACTGAATCTTCTACCACCAATATCATGCTCTGTCACCTCAAATCAGTTTTAAGACATCCTTCAAGTACTCATCTTTGATAACGGGGCATTCAACTATCTTCAGTTATAGCCTGAAATCCCATACAATTTAAACTAAGCTAAAAAGAAATTCACACACTCAGTGGAGTTCTCTACATCCCCAGGTCTAAGTGAGGATACTACCCTGGTTAGCTTTGTTAGTTCAACCACATAGACAGAGCTTATCCAAGGTAAGACAAGCACCCTATCTCACAATTTCCAAATATCACTTAGAAACAAGTTTTATGAACATTCTCTTTTGCCTTGTATCCTCTTATATCCAATCTTGATTTTGAGTTATAGAAAAGAGGTACAGCCTTAGCTGCCACTCCTGTAAAATCAATAAATCATGGTGGTTCAGGTCCTAGAAGGATGCCCCAGCTTCTCCCAGGCTTGGCGATTGATGGTGTCCATGGTGTTGTGATGAAATGGCCACTCAAATGCACTATCAGTGCAAACATCCACAAGTCATTCTTGCAATCAACCTAGAAAGTATATGGCAGCAAGAGATTAGGCATCTACTCTTCATTCATTCATTTGTTCACTCACTATTTCAGCTAGGCTATATATACCTAGATAGTAGGGCAAAAAAAAATACATTTTGAAAACAGTCTTAAGTTCAAACTTCAGATGTGGACAAGCATTTCTTTAGCAATTTTTTATCAGTTATGGGCTGTATTGAGGATAAAAATGCTATAAATTAAACCCACTAAGTGTTTATTGTTTATTCACTAAATGCCAGGCACTGTATTCTGTTTTATGCATAGTTGAATATAGTAGTCTCTGCCCTTATAAAGATGACTTTCTGGTGAGGGACATAAACATGTAAAAATATAAATGGGACCAGGGTGGTAATGTTTGCCAGAAATGAGATCAAAAGCTACAATGTAAAAGAAAATGTGTAATTCCAATAAATGGGAACAAGTACTCTGAGTTTAGAGCAAGAAGAGAATATGTCTGACCTTTAAAAATAGCACTAAGTTTAAAATAGCTAGTCTTTTAAAAATTTATACAACGTGTACTTGTAGAGATGAAGGGACCATGCAAGTGGAAAGACCAGCATAAGCCATGTCAGACATGTTAGAAAGTGTAGGTCTTACTAAAGGTACTGTAGAATCATTCCATCTGACTGAAGCACTGAATAGGTGTGTCAAAATGAAAGATGAGACTGGAAATGAGATTAGGGCATGAGAAGAAGGGATTCAAAGATCAGAAAAATAAAATTAGACATCTTCGAACTATATCAGAATTCTAGATTTGGCTTATAGTCCTACTGCCATCAAGAGTTTATAATTTAGTATCATATTTTTGATTAAATTCTTAACAGATTCTATCTGGAAAATTGGAAATAATTTATATTTTGGGGAAGAATTATATCCCCAAATTCCTTTATATTATTCCTAAAGTACTCAATTTAAATTAAAAAACAGAAATAAAAAGAGGACTTAGTCCAACAAAATCAATTTATTTTAACATCAGGAATTCATATGGGTGTTTTCTGAGATTATTATTGAAAATTCAAACTGGGTAAATCCATTTTTAAAAGCATAAAAAGCCAAAGATCTATTTATGGACTAATTTTAATTTGTATTGAGAATAATGTACAATCAAGAGAAATGATTCATTGCATATAATACTGTAAAATTATCCCATGTATAATTTTTTCGATGAGTCAACTTTATAATTTATAAAAGTCAGTGAATACCAGACAAACAAAAATTGAAGGATTTTATCAATAACAGACCTGTATTATAAGAAATGCTAAAGGAATTCCTTCAATCTGAAAGAAAAGGACATTAATGAGCAATCAAAAAATCATCTGAAGGTATGAAACTCACTGGTGGAAGGAAGGACACAGGGAAAAAATATTATAGCACCATAATTGTGATGTAAAAACTCCTCATATCTAAGTAGAAAGACTAACAGATGAACCTATCTAAAATAACAACTATAACAACTTTTCAAGACATAGACAGTATAATAAGATAGAAATAGAAACAACAAAAATTTGAAAAGCAGGGAGATAAAATTAAAGCATACATTTTTATTAATTTCTCTTTGCTTGTTTATTACTTGTTTATGTAATCAGTGTTGTCATCAGTTTAAAATAAGGGTTAAAAATATTATTTGCAAACCTCATTGTAACCTCAAATCAAAAAACATATAACAGATACACAAAGCATAAAAAGCAAGAAATTAAAACATATCACCAGAGAAAATCACCTTTACTAAAAGGAAGACAGAAAAGGAAGACCACAAAACTAGAAAACACATAAAATAGCAAGATTAAGCCCTTACTTATCAATGACTACATTGAATGTGAATGGACAAAACTCTCTAATCAAAAGCCATAGAGTCCCCAGCCCATGGGGACTGATCAGGCCTCGAAGCACATTCCCCAGGCCCCTATCCAGGTCTTCTTCTCTCCTGTTGCTGCCACTGCCACTTCCCACCTCACATCCAGAGGTCTGCCAGTCAGTTCTTCAGCAGAGGCAGCAGAGCAGCCATGTTCTTCCTAGGTGGAGTCATTAGCTCCATCAGGGAGGTGGCTACACAGCACAACCCAGAACCCCTGCCTCCACACACACATTGCTCCAACACTGAGGCCAACAAGAGTGAGGAGGTCCATCATTCCAGAGACTCTTTACCCAGTTGGCTGGGGATGAAATTGAGGTCAGGTTTGCAGAACTCATGAATGTTCTCAATAAGACTGTGATCAGTATGACTGAATGGAAGACTCATGGCTTTAGCATTGATACATGGCACAGCATGGTGGCTACAATGGATAGTGACACCACAGGCAAGTTGGGCTTTGAGGAATTAGGTTAGCTGTGGAACAACATCAAAAGGTGACAGGCAATATACAAGCAGTTGGATGTTGACTGATTGGGAACCATTTCCAGCAGTGAACTCACAGGGCCTTTGAGGCAGCAGGGTTTCACCTGAATGAGCAACTCTGCAACACAATCATCTGACACTACTTAGATGAAGGAGGGAACATGGATTTCAACAACTTTATCAGCTGCTTAGTCAGGCTGGATGCTTTTGTTTCATGGCTTGAAATTTCTTGACAAAGATGACACTAGATCAATCCAAGTGAATATCCAAGAACGACTGCAGCTGACAATGTATTTCTAAATGGGAAACCCAGCCCTGCCCCTTCACTTGCTTAAAATAGCTCCTTCACTAACTATAGGAGTCACCTTGGAGCCTCAGTCCTTTCCAGTGCTGATCCCATTTGCAGTCACATCTTCATGCATCCTGCTGACCCATGGACCTTTGCTTTTTCCAGTCCTTGGCACCCAGCTTCTCAGCTAACATCTGGGGTCAAATATGCCCCAACATGCCATGCTCTGAGTTGTCCCTGGCTGTAAGACATGCTAACATACTCTGCCAACAGTCACCCCACCCCCCCATACCCATGTCACTCTCACTCCATAACCTCACTTTTGTACCTGTGCCAACATCAACTCTTGCATGGCTCCCGTGCCCCAAGGCCCTCTCTCAGTTCTGGGAGGATGACTCCACTCCTTACACACCCTGATCCACCCATTCACAGTTACCACCCACGTAGCCCAACATCAGGCTATTCCAGTCCCACATGTTCCAGTGGTTTTGTCTGTATTCTGCTCCTACCCTGCCAGGCCCAGGAGGAAGAAAATATATTCCAGTAGCAAAGAAGGAAAGGAAGGAAGGAAGGAAGGAAAGAAAAGAAAAGAAAGGAAAGGAAAGAAGGAAAGAAAGGGAGGAAGGGAGGAAGGGAGAAAGGAAGGAAGGAAGGAAGGAAGGAAGGAAGGAAGGAAGGAAGGAAGGAAGGAACAGAGGGAGGGAGGGAGGCTGAATGGATTTTTGAAAACCAAACTGCAATGATCTGTTGTCTACAAGAAACACACTTTACCTATAAAAGTACACATTAAATTAAAATAAATGGATAGGAAAAGATATTTCATGCCAATGGAAAGCAACAAAAAGTAAGAGTAGTTATACTTAGACAAAACTGATTTCAAGACAAAAACTGTAAGAAGAGACAGAGATTGTAATTATATAATGATAACGGAGTCAATTCAGCAAAAGAATAGCACAACTGTAAATATGTATGCACCCAACACTGGTAGCTATTCATGTATTGGGGTCTCTCTCTTTGTCTCTAAAGAGATAATAGCTGGAGACTTCCACACCCCACTTTCAGCATTGGACAGATCTTCTAGACAAAAAATCAG